ATTATTTATTCATTAATATCTTAAATTATTATTATTAAGCCATAGAGAATATTCAGATTCATTAATAAATAAATACAGTATTATTTGAACACTCAAATGCATAGTTAAGATATTTCATTTAAATATACAATATAATTTCACTTATATGTCAACATATATAATTTTTGTAATTAAATTAATTAATCAATATCTTACAAGTAAAAGGCTTACTTATAAAATAAGTAATTTAATTTAAACTCCATAATAAACACAATTTTTAAAGTTTGTAGAAATCTAACGCACAGTAGATCCTAATAATAATCTTAGTTTTACAAGAGTTTATTAAGTATAGTTTATAAAATATAATCGTGTCTTAAAATTAAATATATCATTGTTTTATACATATTAAAATATTCATCACTTATATAATTATGTGAATATATTTAATTAATATAATTGTATGCAATTTACTATACAGTACAGACTATTATAGTACATTCAATGATAGCATAATTACTGTGAGGTTAAGAATTTTTGCCAAACAATTCACAGACATTATATAAATTGGTTAGAATTGTTTTAATCACTTACAGTTACAAACTGTGAGTGAGCCTGGTCAATTAAATGCATTAGTTTGACTAATTCAAACGATTGAATGAAACAATTATTTAATGAAAGTATATGAAAGACATTATTTGTGAACAAATGTTACGAAAGCAAACTCACGTGTAGTTTAAAACTCGTGTTTACTTGACATTCATTGCACTGAATTGGACTCAATTTGGACTCAATTTGGACTCAATTTGGACTCAATTTGATTGCTATTAATATTGGTTTGGATTATGAGTTCAGACGTGAGCCACAAGAAGAGGAAGCGCTTCAAGAGAGGCAAACAAAGGGTAAGTTGTGGTCAGATCTGCTCTTTCGCTCATTCACTCAATGGTTGCCTTTCGTACAGAAGTCCAAAGAAGAGTCGACTGATGGCAGAAGAGATGGTCACAAATCATATTCAGATATCGTTAAAGACAACAAAGACTATGAATTGTATTATAAAACACAAGACATTATCTCAGAGAGTGAGTGGCAAACGTTTATGTCATGTCTTCGCGAACCACTTCCCTCTGCCTTTCGACTCACGTCTTACTGCAAGAGTCAGACGATTGCGTTGAGGAATATCATCGAAAGCGATGAGTTTAACGGTTCCGTGGGTGACAAGAGTGACACCATGAATGGTCTGACGTGCATCGACTGGTACCCCAACCGGTTCGCCTGGAATATCAATATATCGAGGGTTGAGATCAGAAAATCTCAATCCTTTCGGATTCTCCAGAATTTCTTGATTTCGGAAACCGATTCGGTATTCAATGAATGGTTTATCACTTTGACGTCAATTCTTACATTCATTCACTTCTGTAGGGATATATCAGTAGACAAGAAGCCGTTTCAATGATTCCGGCGCTGCTGATGGACATAAAACCTGGACATCGAGTGCTGGACATGTGTGCGGCTCCGGGATCTAAAACGGCACAAATCATTGAAATGCTTCACTCAGAAGACGGCAGTTCCGATGGGGCGGTTGTGGCCAATGATGTGGACAACAAGAGGTGTTATATGTTAGTCCATCAGTCGAAGCGTTTGCACAGCTGTTCCACTTTGATCACAAACCATGACGCGGGAGGAATGCCTAACTTCTACGACACTGTGGTTAGTCATTGAGAACTGGTTGACTCATTGGGACAATGATTGAATGGTTTGATTTACCAATTGATAGGACGGACAGAGAGTTGTACTGAAGTTTGACCGGATCCTGTGTGACGTCCCCTGCACTGGCGACGGAACCATTCGCAAGAACTATGACGTGTGGATCAAATGGAATGTCGCGAACGGCAATAACTTTCACGGAATTCAGTTACGAATCGCCAAAAGAGGTCTCGAGATGTTGAAGAAGGACGGCATTCTGGTGTACTCGACGTGTAGTCTCAATCCCATTGAAGACGAGGCGGTGATCGCATCGTTGCTTAACTTAAGCGAAGGCGGCGCTCAACTGGAAGACGTGTCCACTGTTTTGCCGAATTTGAAGTATAAAAAAGGTTTAGAGAAGTGGAAAGTAATGACACGAGAAATGGTTTGCATTGAGTCTGTGGATGAGGTCCAAGAGAAATACAAATCACAGATAAGAGAGTCGCTGTTTTCGCCGAAGAATGCCAAAGAGTTGAATCTAAACCGATGTCTAAGAGTTTTACCTCATCTTCAAAATACCGGCGGTTTCTTCGTTGCTGTCATCCGAAAGACTGTGGACTCACTTCCGTGGGAGAGCTCCGCACAAACACCAGCTCCTAATGAGTCGACAGAAGTGTCGAAACCAGAAGACACTCAGAAAGGAGATACATATCGACAGAAAAAGAAACGAAAGATTTATGGCTATAAAGAGGATCCGTTCATATTTCTAGACAACACTGATAGCGATTGGATTAAAATAAAGTATTTTTATAGTTTTTACGGTATATTTACTAAACGTTTATAATTATATGACTTATTTATAGAGACTATTACGGAATCAACGACTCGTTCCCATTCGAGCAGTTAGTGCACAGGTGTTCGGTCGGCAAAAAGCGGAACATCTATTTCCTGACCGATGCCGCCAAACGCGTTGTTGTCAACAACCAGAAGGACATTAAGGTTTGAATTGATTTTAAGTTTTATTAAACTAAAGGATAAACTTATGATTAGCTCATCAATGGAGGCGTTCGCCTGTTTTCCCGGAGCGACGATAAAGTGAATCCATGCGGCTATCGGCTAACACAAGAAGGTCTGCCCTCTCTGTTCCCGTATCTCAATAAAGAACATGTCGTCGAAATCGAGGCAAAGGACGCCAAACAATTGCTGTCTTCGGATAACATGGCGTTAGATCTGTTCACTGGAAGCGAACGGCTAAAGGAACTAAACTCCGGCTGTTGTGTACTCGTCATCAAAAGAGATGCCCAACAAACCAATGGCTTTCCGTTAACTCTTCCCATTTGTTGCTGGAAAGGGAAGACATCAATGCGCGCCTATATCGCCAAAAACGAAAGGATTCACTTCTTGAGACTTTGTGGTGCAGATGTCACTGAAACAGGTTTGCCGTACATTATCATGTGTCGGGGTTTTAATTTGTTTCAATCCATTTCAGACGCCGTCAGAAGTACTGAACGCGAGAGACATAAAGTCAAGAATGAAGCAAATAATGAAGTATTAGATGAGAACCAACCGATAAAAACTGAGACAATTGAAAGTCAGACTTGAGATGAGTTTTCAGATCATAATTGAAAATGTTTTAACAAAAAGATTTTATAATTATTTTTATGATTGAAAATAATGAATAAAGCGATTATCGATACAAAATAAAAACTAAAGATAACATTCAATAGCGTTTCCGCTTAAGAATATCTGGTTTCCAATTGATTGGATGCGAGTCTTCATCTGCAGTGTCGTCTTCTTTATAGATTTTGATGGTTTTGTCGGCCTCTCCGGTGATGAGTCTGGAACTGCT